ACGGTGTGTGTCGGGCTCCCTCATGCCGTGCCAGCTTGAGGTGCGACCTACGGCGGCAGCGGTGTGCATTCAGATGGGAGAGGAGGAAGAGGGGGGATGGCGAAGGGAAGGTACGACTGTTGTTCAAGGTGAGTAAGCATCTCAGTTGTACTTGCTTATTTCCGCAACAATTTGTTCAGTTGCATTATCGTTTTCCTTCTATCTTTCTCTCAACTTGTCTCTCCACTCTCACTTTACGTACCTTCTTGCATAAAACTTGCATGCTGACGTAGTGTGCGCTGGCTCTTGGCGCGTTGGCACCCTGCCCGCTGGCTGCTTGCTCTCTGGCTGCTCGCGTGCTGGCTGCTCGCGCGCTACACCGTGCGTGTTGCTGCTTGCATCCTAGTGCTCTGTGCATTCACTGCTTGCTCGCTTCCGCGCTAGTGCCCTGTGCACTAGCTGGCTACTTCCGTGCTTGCGCATGTGCATTGGCTGGCTGCGCGATGCTTGCTTGCGTGCTAGCACCCTGCGCGCGGCTTGCGCACTTGCGCATGGCGTGCTGGCTGCTTGCGCGTTGGCGGCTTGGGCACTGGCTGCTTATGCGCTAGCGCCATGCACGCTGCCTGCTTGCATGCTGACGGCTTTTGCGCTAGTGCCCTTGACACTGGCGGCTGCTGCGCTAGCTCCCTGCGCGTTGGTTGGTTGCGTGCGCACTCAGTGCTTGCATGCTGTCGGCTTGCGCGCTAGCACCTTGCACGCTGGCTGCCTGCACACTAGTTGCCCTGCCCATTGGCTGCTTGCGCACTAGTGCCGTGCTTGTCATAGTGCAGGTGGGCTACATATTGCTAGTACCTTCATATCGTCCTGACTGTTGTGCCCTTCATATCGCACTCTCTCTTTCTGTCATTTCTTTTTTTTTTGTGAGTCTTTTAACAGCATCCCTTCTATGTTGACTTAGTGGGCGGAACTAGTTGACACTCCTGTTCCAAGCCAAAGAATTTCGGCATAGTTAATTGTAAGTGCTTCATTGCCATTGTTTCCGTTTCTAGTCTTCCGTATTCAGCGGGCCCTATACTGTTTTCTCATTTTGCACTATGCTTATTTGAATTTTGGCTATATAACCACCCTTGCTCTCACTCATCAAGAGTTCTTTGATTTTGTTGTAAACCCTGAAGTTCCTTCCTTTCACTTGCTATTACAGTCATGACGCACATGTTCATTGAACCCATATGTTCACAACTCTCATGCTTATGTACACATCATGTTAGCGTGACTCTCATAACTCTCAGTTGTCCCACTTTTTCCTGCACGCCATCTGTGCACATCTTTATATGTGCTCTGTACTTTGATAGATCTTGGATCTCAAGGATCAAAGTAGGAGCTGGAATGCAAAAGAAGAGGGGGGGAGGGATGGGAAAGATGGAGTGGGGGAGGGAGGGAGGGAAGGAGCGAGGGAGGGAGGGAGGGGGGGGGAGGGAGGGTAGAATGGAGAGACCGAAGGCAAGACGAGGGAGGGAGGGAGGGTGGTGTGGAGTGTTCTGGAGAGGTATCCAGTAGTCATAAGTGTTTCCCACAAGATTAGCTTCTGGTTTTGCCATTGCTTCATTTCTCTGCTTGTGTTTGTATCCATCGCATGCATGTATGTGCGTCCCAAGTCTGGTGTACAAACATGTTTGCTGCTTGTTGCAGTGGTGTTCATGTTTGGGTTTGTCTCAATGTATGTGCACTACCTGCCACGTGCTTTTACTGTTCGAGGTTGTGATCGTCACTGGGCAGCGTTGCTGTCAGAGTGGCCGGATCAATCTCTGCTCTAACACTGAAGCAGTTGTGCATAGACTTTGAGGCATTCGTGTAATTTCATTATGGGCATTTTTAGGTGGCTGCCCTAATTAATGCCCCTAAAAAACAACTGTTCATTTTAATGCCCCCAAATGTAAAACCAAATGTATAGGGTTGCTACGCAACCCCAAAAAAAATATGTTCGATCGATTACAATAGGCTGCTCTGCAACCCACGAATAGCAGCGCGTAATGAAACAGCTCCTGCTTCTAGCGGCCACTCGGGATATTTTCAAGGGTCCATCACTTTTCTTCCACTCAGGGTTTATGACCCGTTCACAATCCCATACAGCGAGTATGCTCTATGCTCCAAATTTGCGACTCGCAAATCTCGACTTAGTCGAATAGGGCCTGTACGATAGGGGCAAAATGGACTAACGAGTGAAGATGGGGGGCGGAGTGACTTGTCTGGCATGTTCTATTCATAGAAGGGTGCCTTGTCCGATGCTGCGATAGTCAGTGTTACTAGGCGACATGTAGGATTTCAAACCCAGTGTCATTAAAAAGTGTTCAACACACACAACAAACAGTCCGTGAACACCGAAACACTCAAACCAACCCTCAAAGACTCGAAATCACACATCTGCATGGACAGAACTAGAGACGCATCACTCAACACAACCGAGCAACAACACAAAGCCAATTCACAAAACAAAGAAATCACACAAGTTACCCATGCTCCCAACAGCAAATGTCTGGACACTCCCGAGAGAAACCGTAGTGCCAAACACACAACATCCAGAGCAACACCGTGCTCCCTCAGCGCATCCACTCAGCTGAGTCCACCCAGCCGTCCATGACGGCCGTCGCCTGCAGCACATGCTGACGGCACTCTTGAGTAACAACACCTGGAGCAGAGTTTAGGTCCAAGCGAGGGGATGCGCATTCGAGACATTCAATGACGGTGGGGTCCCGAATATCGAACAGAATGCACGGGTCCCTCGGGATCAGCCCGATGGACCGCGCATAACCGACCAGCATCTCAGTCGCCATGCGGCTGAGATGTCGGCGATTGCGCGAAACATTAATGGGCTGCGCAATGGCCGGGGCACGGAGATACCATGCACCGCATGCGGGGAGCCCAGAGGTTCCAAAGCGAGGGGATCCTCGCCGCTTGGGTTGCATATCTTATCGTCGTTGTCGCATGTGACGAACTGGACCGCATCCATGCGGTCCTCGTCGCCATAGGGCAGCCGTGCCAAATTCTCTGTGACTGGCAGGAACTCGGCGGGCAGGTTATGTTCCTACTCAGCGACTGTGGTGCCGACCACGGGGAGTCTCGCGAGCCAGCTAACGGGGAGGATACGCGTCCGCCACCAGCACTTTTGAACGTTCTCGGGCTCGATCGAGAACCATAAGTCCGACAGCCAGGTTATGACCAGCACCATGTTGGGCTTGTACTACAACAACATTCCCTCGCTCTGAAACTCCTCCCATTCGCGGAACATGTGGAGGGTATGGAACGTGCAGTACCAAGCTTTCAGCGTCGCGATGAGCCCTTGGTCCAGCGGTTGCGTGAAGCAGGTAGTGTTGGGCGGGAGAAAGATGAGGCAAACGTTGTTGAGCGCGCGAGTTCGGAAGCCCAAGATGTCAACTGACGTGGCGAGCGGAGATAACGGGCTGTGGCAGCTAGCGTTGTCCAGCAGGATTACGACGCTTCAGCCTTCGGCGAAACAGCAGGCGTTGATGTGCTCGATGTATTCTGTGAATAGCTGCGGTGGACGAGGGGAGAAGTATTGTAATGCGAATGTCGGCTTTTGGAAATACTACGAGCAAAGAAAGCAACAGCAACGACCAAGCAATCACACAATGCAAGCAACAGGATCAAAAGGGTGGGGGCGTTAAACTATCGGGCGCTTACCGGGCTAGTCATCCAGACGGTACAGTTGTTGCGCCACACGCACTTCGTCGCAGGGTCGAACTTCTTTCGGGCGAAGCAGCGAGGATTGGCGGTTTTGCTCACAATGAGGGCCTTGAACATCTGCGAGCCATCGGCGTTGCACATCAGCGCGACGGTTATGCGGTCCTTCCGGTTTTTTCCGCCACTCACAGGGTCGTCAGCGAAAGTCATTTTTGGAATCTGGTTCCAAGCGCATCCGGTCTCGTCATAGTTGAAGCAGTTGCGAGGCGCAACACCGAGCAGAGTGAGCAGCTGCGGGCAAGTGGTCTTTGTCGTCATCGCTGCGACCAGGTCCTGCTCGTTAGCTTCCCCCTGCCTATGCCGCCATTTGTAGCCCATCCACTTCAACGTTTTCTGCACCCAGCCCACGCTAGCCTTAAATCCCTCGGGAACGCCGGCGTCTGGTGCCATAATCCGGAAACGTTGTTGGATGACGCCAATGGTGATGGGCAGCCCACCCTTTGCCCATGACTTCAGGCGCTGCTCAAGCAGGGGGTAGAAGGCGGAACGCAGACGTCGATTGGCGGAGCTCTCGGGCCTAAGAGCCTTCCACTTGGCCGCCTCCTTCAGGATTTTCCTCACGGTGCTGGGGTTGGGATAGATAATGTATCTGGTGAAACATCACCTTGAGAGGTCGCCGAGTCGAAGGTGACCATGAGCTTCAGCATTTCGGCAGATTCCGACCTTCATAGCAATCTTCAGCGATGTCTTCCTGAGTAACCTCATTGTGACCCACCAGTTGAGCCTGGCAATGAAGTTGGGATGGTGATTTGAGGCTGATTTGGCGGACTGTAAATACGACCTCTGTCGGCCTCCTCTGCCGAGGGGGTACGTAGGACTAGTAGTGTCAGCGCGCAATCAAAAGTGTCAAGTGGACGGGGGTACTAGCGGACTGTTTGTGATTTCGTGGTCGCCCCCACGGTCCGTCGTGATTACGTAGCATCGCCCTGGCAAGCGCGTATTGGCTGGCCAATACCAAACACAATTCACTGGGATTTTCCGAGCTCGCTCTCGCGGGTTGGTTGGTGAAGCTCGGATGCTGAAATCGCACCCAATTCGGGTGGCGCGAATTGATGGTCGGTGGCATTATGCGACCGTCGTGACTGGTCAGTATGTTTATTGTGCTTTTTTTGCGATGTCTAACAGTAGATGTATAACTTACAGACGGAGTACATCGTGGTGGATAGTATCTAATACCAGACGCTAGACTATTATATGGAGTACAATGTCATCGACCTAATGGCATATCCGCTGTAAATCGATTTGGCTGGATTTAGTATCCAATCTAGGCTGCTTCCGAGCCACGCTATCAGCTCGTACTAGCGTGCTCCGGTGCTGTGTAGAGGATTTTTGCTCCCTCTGCGGGTTCCATGCACCTTGGCGGGTATTTCCGGACGTGATGCAGGCAGCGGAACGCTCGTGTAAAACGCGGAATTTCACACCCGGACGGCCTGTTTTGTAAGGCCTCTCTAGAGGTAGAGCATGCCACGTAGCCAGATGTCCCGGATCGGCGTTCGAATGCTTTCCTGCCTTTGAGTCGACTCAAAAGCAGACTCATTACACGCGGTTTTGAGTCGACTCAGCGGTAGCAGCAAGCAACGCAGCCAGATGTCGCGGATTGGCGTTCGAATGCTTTCCGGCGTTCGCTATGCTCCGTTCGGAATGGGGAGAGCTCTTATGGACGCCGCACCGCCAGTTTCCGCCGCCTCCGCGTGCAATAAGGAGAAGCACCAGTTTCCACAGGATACGATCCTGTCCGTTGGTTGGACCACGGGCCAACAGAGCCAGGAACAGAAACAGCAGCAGCAGCAGCAGCAGCAGCAGCAGATGCAGGATAAATTTTGTTTCGCGACGCCACAAAATCATCAACAAATGTTCATCAGATCCGGTTGTCAGATCCCGAGACGTGTATCAGATAGCACTGTAGCGGATCGGATCCGCGTGCAGCCTTTTTCTAGCTCTGCGTCGCTGCTGAACAGTACCGAGTCGGGGGTTATAACGGGTACAGAAACTGTAGGACGGGGAGGGAGGGAGGAGAGGGAAGCAGCAGGGAGGGAGGAGGGAGGGGAGGGAGAGAGGGAGAGGGGTGGACAAGTGGGAGAAGTGGGAGAGGACGTGGTGATTGCGATCGGGGGAAACATTGGGAATCGCGTGGCGAATTTCCACCGAGCGCTGCGAATGCTGCGAGAGGTGAGGAGTCTTATCAGCGAGGTGAACTGATCGGTTCTGAATCAGTATAGAGGGAAACTGATCGGTTTTGAATCAATATAGAGGGGGACTGATCGGGTCTGAACCAGTATAGAGGGGGACTGATCGGTTCTGAATCGGTATAGAGGGGGACTGATCGGTTCAGAATCAGTATAGAGGGGGACTGATTGGTTCTGAATCGGTATAGAAGGGAAGTGATCGGTTCTGAATCGGTATAGAGGGCAACTGATCGGTTCTGAATCAGTATAAAGGTTAATTGATCGGTTCTGAATTATTATAGAGGGGAATTGATCGGTTCTGAATCAGTATAGAGGGGAACTTATCAGCTCTGAATCGTTAAAGAGGGGAACTTGCCGGTTTTGAACAGTATAGCGGGGAACTGATTAACGACTAAGGTGTGTAACGTTGGGGGCTACCTGTTGAACCTGCACTGGTCCTACATTTTCCAAGAACCTTCTCTCTTCGTTTCCTTAACCCATTCTTGTTTTTCAGACCGGAGTGCAAGTGTACGTGTACCGTCATGGCTGCCTGTGCGAGTAATGTGTTGGGTACACTTGTTGCAGACAACACATGAGCGAATTAACACGCCTTTTGCCCCTTCATTCGCTTCAGGCAGGAGTGCAAGTGCACCGGCATGGCTCCCTGTACGCATCATGTTCTCACGCCCGTGGCACGTTGCTCTCCTTTCCCACCCTTCTCCCCCCTTCTCCCCCTCCCCTTCTCCCCTCCCCTTCTCCCCCTCCCCTTCTCCCTCCCTCTCCTCCCCTTCTCCCCCTCCCCTTCTCCCTCTCCCTTCTCGCCCTCCCCTTCTCCCCCTCCCCTTCTCTCCCTCCCCTTCTCCCCTCCCCTTCTCCGCCTCCCTTCTCCCGCTCCCTTTCTCCCCCTTCCCTTCTCCCCCTTCCCTTCTCCCCCTCCCCTTCTCCCCCTTCCCTTCTCCCCCTCCCCTTCTCCCCTCCCCGTCTCCCCCTTCCCTTCTCCCCCTCCCCGTCTCCCCCTCCCCTTCTCCTCCTCCCCCTCGATCCTCTTGTTGCCCCCCACTCATTCCAGGCAGGAGTGCAAGTGCAGCGGCATGGCTGCCTCTACGAGTCATGTGCTGAGGCGCATTAACACGCCTTCTGTTGCCCTCAATCCGCAATCCTCAATCCACTTGTTGCCCCGCACTCACTCCAGGCAGGAGTGCAAGTGCAGCGGCATGGCTGCCTGTACGAGTCAGCCCCTGCGTATGTGACCGACCAGCCCTTCTTCCTCAACTCGGCAATTCAGGCAAGTATACGGAGACAGGGGTAGTCTCACAGGTTATTTTTTAGAATTCTCAAAGATAATCTGCAAACTTCAGGCAAGTATACGTAGACAGGAGTAGTCTTACAGGTTTTTCGGTCCAGGGTTCTTCTTCCTTTGGTCCCCTCCCTTTTTCTCAATGCATCATATGCACATACCCACCACTCCCTCCCACCAACCCCTCGCCTCCTTATCAATGCATTTGTGTGCATGCCCCCTAGCCTTCTTTTGTTACATGCAGATTATGCATGTGTGCACAGGACATGCTCCCCCCTTAAACCCGCAGACCGCCCTGTGCCTTGACCCTCCTGACCAGCTGCTCTGTTTCTTTCTGCCCCCTCCCCCCTCGCAATATCACTGCAGGCACGTACTACCCTCTCTCCCCACGCCCTCCTGTCTCTCCTCAAGTCCATCGAAGCAAGCCTAGGCAGGGACCTCAACCCCCACACTGCCCGGCGCTTCGGCCCACGCCCCTTAGACCTCGATCTGATCTTCTACGGATCCAGAACCGTCCGCCCAGAGGGAACCGCCCCTGCTGAAACCACTCCTGCTTCAAGCCCCAGCACCCCACTCGACCTCGTGGTACCACACCCACGTTTGGCTGAGAGGCCCTTTGTGCTCGCCCCTATGATTGACCTAGTGGGCGGCTGTGGAAAGGGCAGAGACTTGCCTCAAGGCAGACCTGCTGTGGAGGATTTGCAGGGGGGGGAGGGGGGGCAAGAGGCGAAGGAACCTTCTTGGGTGTTTCACGAGGCGTTTTGGAAGGATGGAGTGCCCGGGTAAGCTTTGCAATGCTCTCCCCTCCTTATTCCTCCTCCTCTCTGTCCTCCTATCACTCTGCTCCTCTCCCTCTCTCTTACTCACCCTATTCCGTCCTCTCTCCCTCTATTCCACTCCCCCTTGCTCTCACATTTCATTCGAGAATATGGTACTATGCTTCCCTTGTTTATGTCTCTCGTTCTGCTTTCCCGTCTCCTCACCCTTCCCCGCCCCCCCCCCCCCAACCACCTCTTGTGCCTTTATCCTTCAGCCGCTGGAGAAATCTAGGCGGGGAGGCAGCAGTAGGGGAAAGGAACCTGCAATGTGCCTTTTTCGTTCTCTACTCTCTCTCCTCCCGTTCCCCACCCTCCTCCTTCTCCCCTCCACCGCCCCCCCTGTCTCCCGTCTTTCAGCCTATGGAGAAATCTAGGCGGCGAGGCAGCAGTAGGGGGAACGGACCTGAGGAGGGTAGTTCCCCTTCCGCAGCGGTTCTTAAGAGGGCAGAGCGAGGGGAGGAAGGCAGAGGGGGAGGGGCCCCTGTGGGCATGGGAGGAGGAGCGACGACCTCTGGTGATGGGAGTGCTAAACGTTACTCCTGATAGCTTCAGTGATGGGGGGAGATTCACTAGGAATGGGAATGATAGCAGCAGCAGCAGCAGCAGCAGCAGCAGCAGCAGCAGCAGCAGCGCCAGTGGCACTCACCATACTAATGTGGAGGTGGATGTGGAGGCAGCAGTGAGAGAAGCAGAGAGAATGGTAGCTGAAGGAGCAGACATGATTGACATAGGGGGGCAGTCCACAAGACCTGGAGCCCCGCGCTTGTCGACCAATGAGGAGCTGACACGTGTCATCCCTGTCGTGAGAGCAGTTCGTTTCCGATCGCCAGGTGTCATCATCTCAGTGGACACTTTTGATGCGGAGGTTGCCAGGTCAGCGGCGTTAGCTGGTGCTGACATCATCAACGACGTGTCGGGCGGGGCGATGGATCCTCAGATGCTGCCAACAGTTGCCGCCCTGAATGTTCCATTTGTCCTTATGCACATGCGGGGAGATCCCTCCACCATGCAGTTGTCCGAAAACACCGCGTACAAAAATCTCATTGCTGATGTGGCAGCTGAGCTGGCATGCCAGGTGGCAGCTGCTGAGAGGGCTGGGATTCCCCTGTGGAATATTATTCTGGACCCGGGCATCGGGTTCGCCAAAACTGGGCAGCAAAACTTGGAGCTAATCAGAAATCTCGGGCAGCTGAGACAAGAATTGGGCAGGTGGAGGAAGGGCTTGGAGCATGTGCCGATGCTACTGGGTCCTTCAAGGAAAGGTTTTTTGGGTAAGCTCACTGGCCGGGCAGCTGGAAAAGATCGTGATTGGGCGACATGTGCAGCAGTGGCAGCTTGTGTAGCAGGAGGGGCAGATATTGTTCGAGTGCATAATGTTGGTGCTGGTCGAGACGCTGCTACTGTGGCAGCAGCTATTTTTAGGAATGCGGGGTCTTAAGACACTGCTTTTATGGTGCACTAACATGAAAGGAATGCGTTTTTTAAGATCTCGAGCTTGGTGCAAGCTGCTCAAGCTCTCGCCTTTTCCCTTTATTCTCAAACTTTGGGCCTTAATAGACGATGATAGTCGCTAGAAAGCATCTACCCATTCCGCAGGTGTACTATGGCCCTACCGTGCTGCACGATCATAACGCGGATGGAATGGACTGGTGGGTCCACCCGCGTGCTGTTCGCAAGTCAGCTATGGTTTCGCTTCCACTTGGCTGCCTTGGTACTGTACAGTCGCTGTAGCAGTTCGGTTTGATTTGACGACGAAAGCAAAAGCCTAACGCGAACGAGGCTGTCGCTCTTGCGAAAAGGAGCACCACATTTCGCCAAAGAAAGATGGTCTGCTCACCTGGCTGCACTCTGCTTGGGTGGCAGAACACGAAAAGACCCCTTGTCGTTTTATGACCTGGGCAATCGTCCGCGACGGGTCACCCTTTCGTCTAAGGCACGACATCAAATGAACCCGTTCCTGAGGATCTATCCTCCGTCAGTGCATACTTACCGTTGATCTCTTATGCTGCAGCGCATCCTGCGGACGAGGCAGCGCAAAAGATATGTCAAAGATATTTTGATTGCCACACCCGAGGCGTCAATTTGAAACATGGTCCTCGCGGGTGCTGCGGTGCGGAAAGCTGGCAAAGCGAACGAGTCTTCCGAGTCACTTTTGGACGTATTGCACAACACTCGAAGCTCATTGGCTGACAGAGAGTATCGCGTTCACCGCAACTCTCGCAAGCAAGGGAGCATGCTTGGCTTGGCTGGCTCATCTCATCTCATTACGCTCGGCGCACAGCGCTGCGCGAACGAGGTTTCGTTTGGTTGACGAAGCCAAATCCCAACTTCCAGCGCGGTTGCGATTGGCCTTCCGAAAACAAAACAAGCATGCCCACCACGCTCGCCAATGCCAAGCCAAAACGGACCCTTTTCCGCGCGTCGCCAAGCCCCCAACCTCCCCCCCGCCATCCGCTACGTCGCCGCCGTCTCGTCGTCCCTGACCCCCTCCGCCTCACGTCTTCTCTCCCCCACCCCTTCTCTCCCCTGCGGTCGTCGTGTCGTGGCCCACTCCGAGAAACCCCCCAGCCCCCCCGCCCCTCTGCCCCTTTCCCCCCCCCCCCTCACCCCCCCTGCCCCTCTTGCAACGCTTCCCCTTCCGCCCCATCGCGAACATGTGCAGTGCGGAAGCTTGGAACCTGTGCACTCCAGTAGGCAGTAGGAGCTAGGTGGCTATTTACTGGAATGCCGAGGAATGCCGTCCACATTTCGGAATTCCACCTCAAAAGCGCCCCTACATTGTCGGCCTCGCCACAGCCCCTTTACGACGCAATTATCCGTCACGGACTCCAGGAAGGATCATTAGGCCACGCTGTCTCACCGCGCATCGCAACGATTCATAGCAGTCGACTCGAGAAACGGTCATTCTTCGGAAGAGTGCCGTTCTGCTGCACTTCACGTCGCTGCGCTGGAACATCAAACATCATGATGGAACCGCCGGCGCTGCCGTTCTTCACGTCGCTCTTCGCCGAGGAGCGCCTCGAGCTTGCCGCGCCCCGGCGAGGGCCCCTCGCGAAACCGCAAGAGAACGCCGCAGCGCGCCACGAAACGCACGGTCATAAGAAAACTGTCGATCAGCTGGAGAAGAACGACCCGAAAAAACAGAACTCGTCAACGACCCCGTCGGCGGTTCAGCAACAGCCCCAGCCCGTTGAGAGGGCGTTTTCGCGCGTGAAGGAGGAGCCTGTTGACGACAGCCCCCCCGCCGGCGACGATCTTCCGGATTTCTTCGACCTGTCGAGCGACGGTGACGACCACAGTAACGACGTTGACGTCGATATGCACGAAGACGACGGCGGTGACGGCAGCGGCGACCACGGCGACGGCGACCTTGCTGACGAGGGTGCAGGCGACGTGTCGAACGCGTCGGATGAAGCGACACCCGCGCCGAAATTGGAGTCTTCGCCGCCGCCTCGCGGTTCGCAGGCGCCTTTTTGCGACTCCCAAACCCCTCGCACTTGTCGCAACCCTCTCAGTTCTCACGCATCTCGTGAATCCCCCCGCCGCGGCGCTTTGCCGAACCCTGCATTCGTCGCGAAGCCAAACTTGCTTTCGATTCCCGCTTCCTACGTCCCGGCCCGGGGGCAAGGGCAAGTGAGCAGCACCACTACTACCGCCGCGGTTTGCGGTATGACAAGGGTTTGCGATATGGCAAGGCCCAACCGCACTGGGTGTGGCGCCCGTCTGGGAAGCGATTCGAACACCCTTCGAGTCCCGAAGCCCGTGGCGGCTCTGGCGCAGCGCCTGGCGGCGCAACCAGCGGCGCGGCTTGCGCCGCACGCTAAACGACCGCGCCATGAAGACGACCGTCGAGGAATCGAGGAGGAGGGGGAGTCCGCCTCGGAGGGAGAGGACGAGGAGGAAGAGAAGGTGGAGAAGGGAGAGGGTGGCCGTGCTTTCAATAGTCCACGTAAGCTTTGTGTGACGTCACCATCGCGTCAGCAGCCTGACGGGGCGTCCGCGGCTCCCCGTGTCAACCCCCCATTCGAAGTCAAAGCCGCGCAAGCCCCCACCCCCTCCCTCTCCAACTCTTCCGCGGCGCAAAGGTCCCCCGCCTCTTCCAGTAGGCCCGGCGCCAAGGCGCCGCGCAAGCTCCGGCTGCGCCTGCCGCCCGCGCAAGTCAAAGTGCTCGAGTCGCACTTCACGGAAATCGAGCGCGAAATCAGCTACGAGACGCGACTCGAGCTGGCGACTCGGCTCGATATGAAGCCACGTCAGGTCGCGGTTTGGTTTCAGAACCGGCGCGTGAAACACGCGACGATGATGAGGGAGGGGGAGCTGTCGCGGTTACGCGCGGAGATGGCGCAGGCGCGGGCGGAGCTGGCGGAACTGCTGAAGGCGAATGAGCGGGCGAAGCGGGAGATGGGGGATTTGGCGGGGGAGCACGCGGAGCTGAAATCGAAATACGACGAGCTGTTGGTTTCGACGAAAAGAAAACTGCCCGATAACGATTCGGTGAGTGTTTTTTTTTCCCGTTCAAGACGCTACTGAACAAACGCTGTAGGACGAAAATACAAGGACGTTTTTTCTGCTACGAATCTCTGTCAGTTTCTGTTTTTTCTTTCTATGGTTCTTTTTCTGAAAACCCTGACTTGACAGCTGGAAAGGCGTAAACCCGAAACCGAGCTCCGCTTTCTCCGCTTCCCCTCCTCATGACTCTCCGCTTTCTCCCCCTCCCCTCCTCTTTCCCCCGAGCAGATGAATGCGCCTCCGCATAAACGCGCAAAGCAGGAATTTCCGGAGCCCGCTCGCGCTTCCGCAGGCTCCGCCGAACAGAGTGACGCGCGTCAATGCGGGGAGCGAATTTCGCCCTCTGCCGAGGATGGTTCCGCTATGAACTGCTCTGATAAGAGTGGGTCAAAGGCTTTAGCTGCAGCTGCAAAGCTTCGTCTTAGAGAGGCATTCGAAAAAGATTCTGAGGATTGTGCTATGCAAGAAGTGGGGAGGCAACAAGCTACAAATGAAGACAGCAAAAACGGGGATGAGGACAGCAACAAGGGTGAGGAAGGAAACAGCCTCATGGTAAGCGGCTCCCAGTCCCAAACTACCACCGTGTTACCAACCCGAGAAGACAATCTGTCGAGGTCATCCGCTACACTCACACCTCATACAAGCACATGCACAAGCCATCGAGCCCGGATCAAGCCGATGTGGGTCGACGGAGCAAGCAAGTTACCGAAAGGCCTCCCCCTCTGCTCCATCCTCCCTCAAAATCCATCCACCCCTCGCACCACTCTCTCCCCTCGCGCGGCCTCCTCCCCCCTCTCCCCTCGCTCCCCTCCCTCCCCTCCCTCATCCCCAAGTCCCAACCCACCCTCCTCGCAACCTTCCTCTCACTCCGGCTGTCCATCACTCAATGCCTCCCATCGCTCCCTTTCCTCCTCTTCCTCCCACTCCAAGCCCCATGATAGCCTGCCCCAGTTGTTACCTCCCCCAGGCATCCCTGCCTCCCCCAAAACGCCCACCTCCACTGGCCGATGGAGGGAATTCATCTCCCCTCTTCCCACCTTCAACAGCGCACCACCCCACTCCCGCTCAACATCCCCCTCTGCTGCGGCTGCGACTACTAGAACTGCTGCTGCTGTTACTGGTGCTCCCTCAACTTCTGCAGCTGCTGCTGCTACTGGTGCTACAGCTGGTTTGAAACCTGTGAAAGTGGTTCCAGTGCCACCTGTGGCTGTAGCCGCACTTGTGGCTGTAGCACCGGTACCCGTCATCTTAACCCCAGCAGGACCAGGAGCCCAAGCTTTGACTGCTACACCTGGGGCGACTGTAGCAGGAGCAGCAGGTTGGCCAGTTGGAGCTGTAGCGTCAAGAGCACCCTTATCTGGCTCAAGTGGCATCCTGCCGTGTGCCACTGTTCATGCTGCAAGTTTTCTGGGACATAATCCCGGGATCCCTGTTCCTCATGGTGCAATTCCCGTAATGCCAAGAGCAGCACCCCCTAGAAGCCTGGCCGCAAGAACGGCAAGAGCTGCAGCGGAGGCAGCGGCAGCAGCAGTGAGAGCAGGTAGAGCAGAGGCAGCTGCTGCTGCAGCAGCACAAGCAGTTGAAGCAGCAGCAGCAGTAACAGCAAGATCAGCTGCAGTTGCTGCATCAGGGGGTGCAGCAGTGGCTGCAGGACAGCAGAGATCAGGAGCACACAGACAGGCGAACGGCCTAGCAAGGGTCAGCGAGGGGAGAGTTGCTGCAACTGCTGCATCAGGGGGGCCGATGGCCGCAGGGCAGCAGAGATCAGGAGCACATAGACAGGCGAACAGTCTAGCAAGGAGTGGGGAGGGAAGAGGCATTGGTGGTGCTGAAACAGGACCACGCGAGTCGAAAGCAGCAGCAGCAGGAGGGAGGGGGAAAGGTGAGATTGTGTTGAATGAGGAGATGGCAGAGAAAGGGCTTACATTGAAGCTGTCACTATAGAGAAGGGTGATTTCTGGTCAGTCACAGTAAGAAGAACCTGCTATGTGCTTGGTAGGTGTTCTATTTTT